AGGCTTGAGAGAGAGAACATGTGTGTATTTCTGCGAGGTTCACTGGTGTCCTAACAACTTTGGTCTTCTGCCAAAGGAAAGGTCTGCGTGCCTGATCCAGTAGTTATTTGAAAGTAATAAATTAGAGGCTTGAACTAATATGCCCAGTGCTGGGCATCCAAAACACTGTTCTAGAGAGTCATGTTGTCTTGTGTGTTCAATTCCATGATCAGTAGGAGGGTGTTCTCTCCTGCAGTTTTTTCTTAGTCCTCTGATCTAAACTGAACAGTAGCCTGGTGATTAAAGCACCCTTGCTACAGGTGAGGAAACTTTCTGCCCTCCCAAGCTATGTAGGTTTTGCCCAACCTTGATTCACATTCTGTCCATTGTGCCTTGGCACAGGGTTTCCCTAAGGGCTACACTTTGTACTAAATAATAAGCACTCCCTTCCTCTGCATAACTTTTATGCCATCTTTTAACTACTCCAAGGAATTTAACATGAATTTTTAAGACTTCCAAATAAAAGCTAGTTATTTTGATATAAATATTTACAGTACCTGAAATCCTGAAAGAGAGAAGGGTTAAGATCTGTCTTCAGTCAGGATCTGTGACAGTCTGTAGGGCAACAAGTACTTTTGGAAATGAAGAAATGTTTGCACCTCCCCTTTTCTTATCTGCATCCTCTTCTTGCATTAATGTGCACGTTCCCTCATTTATTCCTAGTTCTCCTCTCTATCACCTGCTTTCAGAACTCAGAAAGAGGGGGAGATCTCCTGAATTCAAGGCCACTGTTTGTGGATGTATATCCTGGAACATGAAGGCCAGTATGCCTTTTCCCCACAGATGTCCTCAACAACCTTGGTGTTTGGCCTGCAAAAAGTGTAGGAATTGCAGAAAGTATGTCAACCACCCTGTGTTGGCGCAGGATATGTTGAAATAACTTGAGGCCTTCCTTTTCTTTTTACTCCACAAACTGGGGAAATAAAGAGAAACTGATCTCAAAGCTATGGCTAAAAGGGAATATTGAAATAGACTGTTAGTCTCATTCATCCTGTGGTTAAATTTGAGAGGGGAAGCATTTGAATTCTTGTGGCCCCCAGGTCAAATAAAGCCCTTACTTTGTACAAGGATATTTTGTATTTTTGCTCTTCTGTTACAGAAAGCAGATCACAAAGGAAGCTCAGAGGGTATTTACACAGTCACCTAAAATAAGTGATGAAATGAGAGTGAACACTGGGCTCATTTGAAATGCTGGATGTTGTTTCAAGAGACCACTGCTCCTCACAAAGGAGGTGAAGGTGCTTTAGATACCCAGAGACCTTACACTGTACTGAGCTCATTATTCCTGTCTTGGATTGAGGGATTTTGAATCATCCACCAAAACCTACAAAACTGCTTGAAAGTGCTGCTTGTAATGAATTTTACTGAGACTGATGCCTAGGAGTAGAGAGCAAAAACAGGAGGATGTGTAAAACTGGATATCAGCAAAGGTGAAGTATAAAAGACTTACATGTGCACAAATGTTTTACTTTAAATTCCTGTAATTCTGATCCTAGTTTGTGTGACACACTTCGTATTGATAAATTTCATTTGTGATCATTATATGTCTTTTCTGCTACATTTAGGGTTAGTAATGGCCTCTGCCCACTAGTATGACAAGTGCAAAGTAAACCAATTACCGTGCAGTCAACCTATATGGAAAAAGCATCTATGTAAAGTGTACAAGTTCATATTTTGAATAAGAATTATATATTAGTGCTTCTATTCACTTGAAATCTGACTGGTACATGTACCACACAAGGTTTCAAGAGAGATATATGTGCCTCTCTTTCTTCCTATCTTTTGGCTTTAAGTGTATGCAGCTTTCATGCCAGGAATATCCTCTTAATTTCTTGCATCAGAAATATATTAGACACTATTATGTTTAATTATGAGCCTAAGAAATGTTCTACCATGTATCTTAAACTGGTGTTGTTTATTTTTTATATAGATTAATAGGAGAAGAAAAAAACTCGAGCAGTTAGTGGTACTATAAGCTGGAAAGATTGGCCAAAAATACAGGAAAATGAAGAAAGGGTACCCAAATTGTGTAGACACTCTTTGTGGCAAGTACCAGTTGCTGCAAGATCCTGTTTAGTAACTGGAGTTACAAAGGGGAGCATATTAGCTGAAGAAGAACTGCTCTTGGTTTTGCTGTGCCAGATTAAAACAGTGAGATAAATTAGTTAATTGATACAGCCAGAATGACAGAAACAAGGTTTCACAGCATCACAACACCTGACCTGTTGACCTCAAGTGGATTGACCTCTTACAAACTGTCATAAAAAAGTTTTTTGATAAAACTGGTCATTTTCCTCTGGCATATGATGAAGTAATTTTAGTCTTTTTTGAAGCTGTCTTTCATCCTCACCTTGCTCAGCAGTGAGGTTGTATCTTTCTGCCTGTATGATTTGCCATATTCCCGTACCTGTACTCTGTAAATGGTCCACTCTGAGTAGCCTTTGAGGCATCTGCTGAGGATCAGTTCTGTTACAGGTACACCTGGTAAAAAGCAGCAGAATTTAAAATCAGTGTTAGACTAAGTCCAAGTATGGATTTTTACTCTGCAGAAAATCCTATTCAGTTATGTCCCCTGGGAAGAAAAATGAAACTAAGTATCACATCTGTTGTAATAGAACTGTAAAGGACTGGACTGACTATAACTAACATGTAAGAAGGGGGTTTCTTGTGCCTGTTATTGATGGCAAAATAAAACCTTTAAAAGTATGAGTGTATTTGCTTTGAAGTTTGAAAGCAGTGGAGTTTTATATGTCCTTGTCTTGAATACTAACAGTACACCAACCATTGTAAATTTTCTTGGTTTTATTATTGTGTGCTGTGTCTACCATTTCTGCTTGTCATGAAGTTCATCTATCACAGAGGTGCCAGGGATTATTTTATGAAGCTGATTTGCACTGGGACACAAAAGCTCCATCTTTCATTGAAGGATAAACTGAAAGCATGTTTTGACAGGCATGGAATCACTAAGTGACAAGCGGTCCATGCTCACAACATCTTTATATTGAGGCTGGTTTTATCAGTTTCATGTAGGTACTGCTTTCTTTAGTTTTCAAAGTACTGTGACTTTTCAAGGAGGAGTTTGTGGACCTGAAGTTACAAATCTTGATGATATAGAACAAATCTAAGTCTTCTTGTAAATAGTTATTGGGAAATGCAGTCATGTAACACCTATTACTTGGCCAATACCTTACGGGAGGCAACAAAAAAGAAGGAACCAGGCTCTCCTCAGAGGTGTCAAGTGAGAGAACAAGAGGCAATGGGCACAGACTGAAAACGTGAAATTCAATCTGAACATAAATAAACACTTTTTTTACTGTGAGGATGATCAAACACTGGCATAGGTTGCCTGGAGAGTTTGTGTAGTCTCCATTGGTGGAGACAGATATTCAAAATCCAACTGGATATGGTCCTGTACAACCTGCACTAGCTTACTCTGTTTGCATAGGGGATGGGACCAGATGGTCTCAAGTGGTTACTTGTAGCCTGAACGATTCTCTGATTCTGTAAGGGTTAGCCTGACTTGAGAGCCAGGTGCTGATTATCATGAAAATAGTGCAGAGAGGCACAAACAAAACAGCTCCAAGTGTTACTTTCAGTAGATGAGCTCGGAAGAATGTTACACCTGTGAAAGGGTTTCTTTCCTTCTCTTTCACATTTTTCATCTGTATTCCAAGTCTTTTACTGGAAGGTATACTCTTTAAGAAAAGCTGAGACTGGGAGTATTTTGGTACCAAAACCAGTCTGTTTGACCCTTTGCACCTCTCACCAAATGGCAGTCACTGTGCTGTAGTTCCTCAGAGAGCCTTAGAGGTATTGCTTTGCAGAGCCCTGCAGCGTGCTATGAGTGAGGAGATGCACAAAAATTGAAGTGGGAAGACCTTTCATTGGGTTTGGTATGGAACTCTTGCCACCTTTTGGGTAAACTTTTGCTCTAACGTGTAGTGACCCTTCAGGCTGGGTATGCACTATTTAGGAATTCCCAGTTATTATGTATTGTGGAATACACACAGCAGAGAGATAGGATTACAATGCTACAAGGCTAAGAATTAACATGCTTACCCACCCTGATGGGTCTTTGATGGCCAGGCATCACTTAAGTGGAGGAGGAATGGTCTTTGTTGCTCCTCAGAAGAGTCTCAGCCTTCGTGTTGATAATGGTCACCTTCCAAATTTTCATTTTTTTTAAAAATTATATTTTATACCTCCTCATGCAAGTGCTTCTCCTCCTGAAGCCTTGCTATGTTGACTATTCCGTCCTAACAATAACTTCTCTGTTTCCGTACAGTGAACAAGATGCAGGTATACTTTGTTGGGTGGAGGTGTAGTTCCACACAGAATACCTTTTGGTGAGGTGGAGTGAGTTGTAATTATAAGTGGAATTTTACTGAGAGTAAATGCTTTTACAGTACCTCCCTCCTGCATTCAAATGTCTTAGACAATGCTTTCTGACATGTAGTCAGAGTACCACAATGGCTACAAAATTTTATGCTATTCCTTTTGGCTGCAGGATAGCACAACTGCTGCCCTCCCAAGCCAACAGAGGGAACTGATGCTGCCAAAGCAGCATTGCTTGTTCGCTACTGTACAGGGGCAAAAGGGATGTGTGGAAGATTCACTTTTTTCTTGTTGCTTGTTTGCTGTTGAACATGGGCAAATGGGCTGTTTGGAAGGTGATCTTCTGGGCCATAGCCTCTAGTCAGATTTCTTATTTCTAGTGTGTTGTGACAGATATGTTTAGTGAACACATAGGACAAAATGTGGAATAACAGTATTTTGGGGCCTATTTGAAGCCCACTGGCATATTAAAGGTTCTCAGCTTTTTCAATTGGGATGGTGTATGATTGATTTGGAATGGCAAGAGTGGAAACATCCTCCAACCATGCACATTACAGGATATTCTAAGAGAATCAAGTAATTAATTGTCTTGAATAGCAACACAACTCCTAATTAATTTACTTTATTAAATGCAGGTCATGGTAAAATTATGAGGTAAAGCATCAATCAAATTTTCACTGGTGTTTCTGTCAATACCACAAATATCTATGCTGAGATGCACTCATAAGGTACAAATCAAACATTGGTCAATAACACAGGTAGCAAGGAAGCTGTGCGGATATTAGACAGGAAACAGGTGTAATTAAGTAAAATTAAAAAGAGGAAGCAGATTTAAATTCTAAAAGATTTAGATTACATATCAGTAAAAGGTAGCAAGAAGGCATGTTGCTCATAGTTTTCTTAGCATTTTTTTGTTGTTGGGACTCTCAGCAACCTTAAACTACAAAGTTTGGAAAAATGAGGAAAAAATGCAAGATGATTAGAAGTCAGCAATTAAATGTTAAGGGCTGGACAATTTTTCCTCAAAGCCTAATTTTTTCAAGTAGCTGAAGGAACAGGAGAGAAGAAGTGTGATGTGTCTATATACATGTGGTGAGACAGGAGAAGGTAAGGAGCATTTTAAGATTATTCTGGATTTGTATTAAATTTTGTTAATTCCCAACAGTCCTAAATTGGAAATTAACATAAGGAAATACAAATTCCTCACTTCCCAGTGAGGAAAAGAGGTCAAACAGGTTTCTACAAGTTCTTTTTTTTAATTTTTGGGGTTTTTTTTCTCTCTGGGAGAGCCAAGAGAATGAGCTGCGCTTCCCTTGAAGTCAGCATTTGACATAGGCTAGATGATGGCATCTAGCTAGGTGCAGAGGGCTTTTATGACTCCACCTTACTCTCAAACAACAAAGCCAGAAGAGCAGGTTTGATACAAGGGAGCAAAATTCCACACTCTATTTTCTGTGGAGGGCTGTCTCATTAGGACAATGGAAAGGAACAGTAAAAGAGTGATCTTTGATGGCACAGGATAGTTGCTGGATGCTGCCTTCTTTGAGGGGGATTGGGGTTGGGGGGAAAAGAACATACACTTTCAGTAGAGGTGGCTATATGGCATAAGGTTGAGATTTTAGCACTGCAGTTCACATTTTTCCATTGAACAGTGAACCTTGGTTGCTGTCTGAGAGCAAGTAATAATTCATTCTAGGGGAGAGCAGAATCTACCAAAAAAGAGGATGCTCTTGGATTTGTTGTGTCTGATGAAGAAGAAGAAAGGGTGATCAATCTTAAATTTCAGAACATGGCCAACAGGTGCACTTGCTAACTCTGTAATGACAGCAGTAGCAGCAGCTGCCTCAGTGCCCTTTTCATCAACTGCGACAAAAGACTTGTGAAAAACTTTGGAGATCTGCAGAACATCCTTCTCAATCATTCCACTGAAATCAGCATTGCTGCTGAAGGCACCGTGCATTCCCATCCTGACCAAATTATCACTGAGGTCATATCTCTCTTCCATTTTGAACTTAGGTAGGTACAGATCCACAAGAGTTTCAGTCATCTTGGAATCAGTCCATTTGGACAGCTTCTCATAGGTCAGTTCTCTTTCCAGCTATAATTTAAAAGAAAGAGAAGGAATTTGATGTTTGCAAGGGAAAAACAACTAATTAACTATGAATTAATCAACTTTATGGCAATGTAATGAATTAAACATTTTTTTAAATAGCGAATTTAACATTTATCTGAAAGCATGAAATAGAAACTGATTTTACTGATTATCAGAGACAGCGTGTGCAACAAATATTTGAGTCTAAATACTGCAAAGTTTTGAGCACCAAGCCTGCCAAATTCATTGCAAAAGGAAGACAGAGAGGGCACTGAACAGCTACCATTCCCTGAGGTAGTTCTTTCCTCTCTCTTTTAGTTCAGTCTTGATGTGAAGAAAGTTGCTGTGAGATTGACAGCTGCATGGCATGTAGTTTGGTCTAGTTCTATAAAAACAGGTGTTAACATTACTGCACATATTACCATGACAGCTTTGAAACAAACATCTTCCAGCAAGGTCTTTCACTGCCACTCTGTGTCCTGGGCACTACACCATGACAGTTCAGCTCAGATCAAATGGAGAAAAGCAATGAATGGTATAGACTCCAAGAATTTAACAACTTTGGAATTGTAGTAACTACAGTGGTAGGTCTTATTATTATAGCAAATGCAGTCTCACCAAAATCTTGGTTTTTCAGACAGCAAATAAGTGGTGGGGGGAAAGGAGGCAAACAGAATGAGAAGAAGATGGTAAACAAACTTCCAGGCCATGGGGAAGAGGGATCTGTTATTTTAGGAAGAGGCTGTTACTACTTGTGCAGTACTATCCCTCCTGAATGTGCAGTGAGATTTAACCTTTAGAGAACGTGTAAGAATGGGTGTCAGTCATGGAGCTGTTGAAGAGCTAAGCATCTGATTATGCACAGTGTTTACTCTCTTCAATTCTTACCAAACTAAGGGTGCTCAGCATGGAGGAACTTTCTTGGGATTAGGTAAGTATCAAAGGAAATTAACTCAGCTAAGTATCAAAGGAAATTAACATGACAGCATGTCCTCAGAAAGGGAGATATGGTTGCCAGCCTGCTTTTTTTTTTTTTTTAAATGACTGTGTGCTAATACAAAATGGATGTATCATGGTTTTTTACCTGTTCAAGACCCGTAGTGTTGTCTTTGATGTCATCAGGAAGGAGGATGAACATACTGAGTTCATGTTTCACATATGGCAACTCAATCATTTTGAAGTTCATTCTTTCCATGATGAGAACTGGAAATGTATTTCTCATGTACATCATCTTTACAGGCTTGGTCTTGTTCTGTAAAGTGTTTATTTAAAAGTAAGAAATCATTCCTTGAATGGAAGGATGATGATGTCTCAGTACAGCACAGGGAGCAGAAACTTTTATAAACAGCTTTTAAAACAGCAATTTATCATTCATTTTCCAAAGCTTTTCTTGACTGGACTATATTGTTCATCTTGATGTTTGTCCCAAATCTTTCATTGGGGGCTGAACTGACAGATTTTTCTCTTCCCCCCTCAAAACATGCACAGCAGCTGACAGAGGAGGGAGGAAGAGAGTTAGAAATGTCTGCAAGGATTAGGGGGATGGAGGAGGCAAGGGATATGGCCTTACAACACTATGGCAGAGAAACAGCTATGGTTTAAGGGAACAAATGTTGTGCAGTTTTTCAGTGGTCTCCTCTCTCTGTTGATAAAAAGTGGCCAGCTGATTGTTCCTTATGTCACAACCCTTAAGAGAAGATAACACTAGTGTCAGAGCAAAAGGGCTCATGATGAAGGGAGTTCCTGGCAAGCAGTCACCTTGTCAGGAGTATGTAACCTCCCTTTACATCTACGTCCCTTCATTCAGGGAAGCAGACAATGTATACAGGTTAATCAGAAGGCAGAAGGTAGAGTTTGTGGAAAATGCACAGAGTTCTTGTCTTTTAATATGAATTCATTAACATCTCTTCTGGATACATGCCATTATCATTTCTCCTAGTCCCTTCCAACCATGCAACACTTCAGAGTACACCATTGCAGCTGTATTTGGGCAGGTATGTTTGTGCCTAGCTGGGTTGCACACCTCAGAGGTCTGGGTACCCTACTCAGCCGTGACATGCCATGTAGTTCTTGTCCATGAAGCCTGGGCTCGCAAACCCATGTTTTTATGATCTAGTCATTCTTAGCACTCTTTTGCAAAAAGAGCCTAAGTGACTGTAGTATTTTTGGAAACAGTAGCTGTTATCTGGAGCTCATTAACATTTACCTGAGCATCTTAATATTTCAGTGAGCTGAGCACTGACAGATTTTGCTGTAACCAGCTTTTCACAGAGGGTTACCACACAGATACCCAAAAAACTTATGATTTCAGCAGGTTGTTTACAGTAAGAAGGACACAGGAGGAGCTTACCTTGCTCAGTCGGAAGGCTTGCAGATCTGTATGTCCTCCCTGAAATTTCACTTCCCATTCTGCCTTGAAGTAAATTGCATTTACCAGGATCAACTCGGTGGTGTTTGACACATCTCGTGGACTCAACAAATTCTTGATTTTGCCTTTTGAAATCAGAAGAGTTAAATTTCATTCCAGCCGTGTGAACATTTTGATCATTTTTTCCCTCAGTTCAACTTCTTAGTAAGAAGTTCTCAGTGCAGTGCTCCCTAAAATGCCCCCTTACATAAAATAATTTCTTTACAGTTTCCAAAGCAGTTTGCTGTCCTGTCCTCCTGGCTAACTGACAGGGATTTACTCCTTCCCCCAAGAATGTCACAGCTTCGTGACAAGCAGCTATAAGCAGAAAGCCATATATTGCCTCACCGGCTGGTTGCACCAGGTAGAAGGAGAACAGCACCTCTGGCCAGTGCAGGATGGCACAGCTGAGCAGGCATCCCCACCTGCCCTGGAGCACACTGGTAGGTAGAGCTGTCTTTCCGCTCTGTCTGCTCTGCCAGTGATCCATGGGTGCAGTGCCAGGACAGTGGCTGTACTGGAGGATCAGCTGATGCAGAGCACAGCACAGTCAATGGGAGTCTCCCCAAGGAGCTCACTGGCGTCTGGATCAGGTATTTGAAGTTAAGTGTGCTGCTCTTCCTCTGTCCTCCCACCACATCTCTGCTCACTGTCCACATCCACATTGGAAGGCATGACCTGGCTGCTGCAGTAGCACCTGGGGAAGCAAGGACACCTGCCCAAAGGAAATGGCAGGCTGACTTAATGGCAGAGCAAAGATGTTGGGGTTAAGCTCAGCTTACCCTCAGTTTGTTTTTCAACCCAAGCGTTGATTTCCTTTCCAGTTTGTTCTGGTGCTGTCTTAAAGTTAACCTTCTGTGGTTCTGCTTTGTAGTAGTTCTTACTGAGCTGTATATAGGTCTGAAAAATAACAAGAAAGCAACAAAAATGTTCTGTGCTAGAGAACTACGCTATTTTTCAGTCCCAAAGGGAAGTTGTTAGCTCTTGTACTTGATAGATTCTTGGGCCTTGAGGACTGCAGGATTCTGCTTATTGCACTCTCTTGGACTGTGGATTAACAATTAAGAAGTAACTGAAGAACAGAAATTTCCTGTATTTGTTCCAAGTTTTATCTGGAGAAGTGAAGAAGGATGCACACTTCCCATGGATGTGCTTATTTTAATGTCTCATTTACAATTTTGTCTATTGGGGTTTCCAATACTAAAGGCACATTGCATGAAAAGGAATCCCTACAGTACACTCAAAGGGCAATGCATCCTTAAATTCTATGAGCAGACCAACTGGTATTTTTCAGTTAAGTTTATCTCTGGAGTCCAGAGCTCTCTTTTGCAGTATTCAGGGCCAGCTTCAAACCTGTTCTATTAATGGCAAGCAATTAAAATGAGAAATATTTTTTGCACCTTTTTTTACTCCTCTCCACGTAAATTTTTTCCACGTAAATGCGGTTGGCATTTCTCAGCGAGTAGGTGCTTCTGGATTTGTTGATGGCAGTCAGGAGCTTTTTGAAGCCAGAATGGATATCTGCAACTTGCTTGTTCTCAGGATCCTTGGAAAAAGAAACCAAACATTCAGCAATTGCATTTTTCCATGAAGCTTTCAAAACATGCTAAGTGATGTATGTGGGAGAGGAATTTGGGTTCACCTTTCTTACTCATTATTTTTACAAGTTTACCATCAAACCATATAGCAAACCTTCCATACTATCCCAATGACTTTTCCTTTCACACTTCTCAGAGTTATGAATGAGTGAAAGGAACTGAATTTCAACCTGTTGTGAAGTATGGTGGGCATTTGTACTTTAAAGGGGAGTGTAGACAATAAATACTGGACTCCTAAAGCTGTATCTGAACAGTTAGGTTTGGAGGTTCTTTGTCTTGGAATTTCAGTTCTAATAGATACCATTTTTCTTCTCTTCGGTCTCCCCCGAGAAGGCCTGGCCACAGAAGAAGAGGCTTCAGCTCCTGCTGCTTGAGTAAAATGAAGAACCTGCAAGCAGAGTTTCCAAAGATAAGAAATAGGCATGGAGGAACTGGTGTGACTTAAAGACAAATGGGGATCAAATGGTTGTCTTGTTTCACTCCTTGTGATAATGCACTGTGCTGTCTACTGCTTAGGTGACTAATCAAAGGGATGCTGAAGCTGTAGTATACATAAATCCCATAGAATAACAATGATTAGCTCTGTCCCTCTCCCAGAGCATCAACACAATGCTTCTGTCTGCACACTGCAAGGCAGATCTCCCTTCCACAGCTGTTGCTTCCAGCAACAGGAATGTGTTTGTGCAAGCCCAAATGGTTCTCCACAGGATAATGGTACAAAGGCCTCTGAACAGGAGTGCAGTGATGCAGAGGAGAGTGCTGGGCAGTGCTGAGCACCACAGCTCCTTCTGAGCCAGCAATGTGCTCATGTGACATTAAGTGGGATTGGGTTAGGGGCTGTGGATATACCAAAACCCTTCCTGTTTTCCTGTTGGATTGTCAGGCAGTTGTTTTGGAAAGCATAAATCAAGATAGAAGGATGCACCCTGGCCAGGATAGAGAGGGAGGATGCAGGGATCTGCAAGCCTCCTACCAATTAGTTAGGAGCTATTGGCATCAGCTTTTTGCTTCACAGAGGCAATGTCCCATCTGTGACCAAGTCATGGAATCATAAGATAAATTAGAAGATGTCAAATACTTTAGAAGAAGTCAGGTTCAGAGAACCTCTGTGCTCAGCATGTAATACCAGCAGGACCCTTTCTCTTAGTGGAGAAGAAAATAATGTGCTATGACATTAATAAAATTTGCCATTCCCTTGTTATGTGCCTCGGTTCCTTGTCATTATGGTGGCAAGTTTTTCTAACACTAAGATTTGTAGCTAATACAGGAGCTAGGTATTGTATGGGGTGTATGTTTTATAGAGCAACCTACCTCTGCCATCTCAGTTGCTGTATTCCCTTTTGCACCCAGGTATGTCAGAGCCAGAGCAGCTGATATGCTCCAAGGGGAAAAGAAAATGTTTTTTCCCTTGTTGGTCTCATTCAGCTTGTTGAAAAGATCAACCGTAAACTTGCCAACTGAGGTTGAGACCACTTCCATTGCTACAGCCTGGAAAGAGGCAACAGACAGAATTGTACTGTTTGAATGTTTAAAATTTTGTACACAAAACCTATTAGTGAGAAATGTTACATGTGCAACACAATGCATTGACATCAACAAAAACTAATAGCATAGTTGTATCTTTATCTTCCACACAGATACTGTTTGCCACCTGCTAGGAGCAGCAATTTCTTCTAGTTTTTTTGTTAGCCACATAATATTTTCCTCTAATTATGAATGTCCTCTTTTACAGATCTGCAGTTTTCTCCTTGTTTCTTTCTGCCTTTGCTTTTCAAAAATATGCAGATTTGTAAGTTGTGTATTTTTCTTCCTTTTTGTCCTTAACTAATGATTTATCAAATTATTGTTCACAGGGGACTGTAAGTGCATCTTTAGTACATTGATTCACAACATGTCTGAGTTTCCCACTGCTTCAGTTTGGATCTGTATAGAATTGAGAGCTGATACTGTGAAAGAATTTAGGCATAATTCTTAGGCTCACTTTCTTTTCCTGGCCAGCCGCCTATTCTGAATAGTATCATGAACAGCAAAGCTGGTATTTCCATTTAGGTTGATGGAGTTTTATTCATTATGTGTACCTACCACCCCTTCTGTATGTTCCAGCAGTTTTATTTTCCCCAGAAACTGGCAGAAGAGTGGAGGCTATAAGTACTCCAGACTTTAGGATATCTGCCCAGTAGTACCTGCTTCATGTCATTTTCCACTCAAGAGACCAAAAATGTTGATTTTGTTGTTGTTGTTATTAATATTTGTATGTATGGAATGGAGCATCAGAAACAGTGGAGCGATCTCTGAAGTCTACAGATATTTATCAAGTATTTGGTTGCCAAACCACTGCAGTTCTTTTGGCAGTCAGTATGCTGTCAGTACCACATCTGTAATACTGATTGATTTTCTCCCCTTGGAGAACATAACCAAGAGAGCATCAGGATGGAAATTTCTCTCTTGTCTGCTAATGAATGCTCCTGTGAGTCCCTTAATGTGCCTTCACCTGAAATATGGAACTCCTTTATTGAACTGAAGATTTTAATTGAAAGGCAGTCACTGCCCTAAGAAAACTTTCCTTCTTGTAATCAATTCTGCCCCAAATTAGCAGTTTTTCTTAGGCTCAAGATTTATTTTCTCTAATGGTCAACGTTTAGGAAAACACGAGGCAAGAATTATGCACTATAACACTGGTATATTATACTTTATCTATACAGTCATGCACGGCACAGGTTGCTTTTCAAAAGCATTGTAGAAGTTACTACTCAAAGTTTAAATATTTTAGTTTAAATATTTACCTCTGATCCTGTGAGAGAGAAGACTTAGGTCTTGTCTTCAGTCAGGTTCTGTGTTTGTGCGTTAAGCAATTTTTAAATTAAGAAACATAGTACTGCTTACACCTCCCTTTCCTTCTCCCCTACATCCATGTTGTTTCCTTCTACCCAAAGCTCTTTTCTATCACATCCCCAAAAGATCTTATGTAATTTTGGCCTCTTTGTTGACCTTGTCACTTTTCAGTTTTACACATTTCAAAAGGACAATGGAGTTAAAGTCTCAGCTCTGTTGTTACACCACAGTAGTCTACTGACAGGCTAGCAGAGCAGGTCACCCATTCCAAAGGTTTTCTGGTGTTGCGGAGAAAACAAGTCTGTTGTTTAAAATAAGTGACTAGCAAAAAGGTTACACAATACTTTTTTTTTTTCTGGATTTAAGCAGATATTGAAGGCCTGATTATCCTCTCTGGTTTTCTGCAGCTGTGACTCCAGGGTTTCAAATTCAGTACATCAGCATAAAACACCAAGCTTAGTGATTGAATTAGACACTGGTTGTCCAGCTTCAAGTTGAAGATCATTAGTAACATAGAGCCAAAGCCATGAAGGACCATGCAGAGGGTAAGGGATGGACACCCCACTGGTTGTGTTGGTGAAGAAATCTCATTGCAACCGTGAATGGGAATCATTTGAGAGAAACACTGCAAAACACTGAGTTACTGCACAGTACTTACATGTAGTAAAGGAGGACAAGAATTGAAACAACCACACTGAGAGGGCTTGAGCAAGGTTGGAGTGAAAACACGCAGCGGAGGGAAACATTGTCACTGTAGTTGTCACTCTACAGTCCCAGAAGAGAGACAATGGTGAAAGAAGAAAGTGGTGGCAACTACTGTGAGACCAACTGGGGGACAGAGGAAGGTGAAGGAAGGGAAGGAAACTGTGTGCTAAGCATTTTGCTGCAAGCCTGATTACAGGAACAGAGTGGGTTAAGAACTCTAAAAAACAGCAGAAATCAATGTTGTGCAAGGCAATGGAGAAATGCCAGAAATTAAACAAGTGTTGGTTTTAGTATGATGAGTAAGTCCTTAAGAAATCTGGATAGCTGAAAGGTAAGCTGAATGGTTAGGTGGTAGGAAAGCCCAATCCAGGAGACTTCCAAGTCCCAAAGAAGTATGCTGAATGTAAGCAAGCTAGCTGCCTTTGCTAGTCAACATGCAAGGATGCCAGGCAGGATGAGAAAGAGAGATGGCAAGGCAGAGTGGCTTTTGACAGGAGAGAAAAAAATCGCACATATTAATTGAAAGAGGCATCCAGAGGTCAATCTCCTGCTTGGAGCAGTGCCAGCAGTAGATAAGGTTAGCCAAAGCCCTTCCAAGGATGGAGATTACATAACGTTTCTGAGCAACCTTCTCCAGTTCACAGCTGCTCACCTTGGAAAAAGGTTGTTCCCTAATATACAACTCACCCTTCAAGCGTTGTGGCTATTGCCACTCGGTAATGACCTGGCACTGAGAAAAGGACACTAGGGCAGTCATCTTTGCAATCGTGCTTAAAATAGTTGAAGGAGAGAGAAAAAGGTGACTCACATTTCCATTGACTTTAAAGGCCTATGAGTGAGTTTGTTTGCATGTTGTCATGGTTTTGTTTTTCATTGGCCTCCCAGGTGTGGCTTTCCTGTCTTTATTCCCAAGACACATCAAGAAGTGCTTAAGATGCTTATCCATGGGGACATGAAGCTCTTGTACTAGGTGAAGCGAGGCAGAATTAGACCTGAATTCATGGTGATCCTGTGCCATGTTTCACAACTGAGACAGACAGAAGGCAGTGCTGCTGGGGTGGTATAGGGGTAATATAAAGTACTTGCTTCATTGCACTTTTCCTATGCTCCTTCTCCTTTGGAAATCAGAACCAGAAGGAACCCTGGAAGCAGTTGAGCACTTGAAAGAAAAGAGAAAGGACTCAGTGACAGTCAGCAGTCTCTTCTCTGCCAGGAAAAGGGAGTCTTGCTGTCCCAAGAAGATGTGTTTCTAGTAAGATGCTGTTGGTGTGTGCAAGTCCATTAAGAACACCAGGCCTTTGTTCTCTGTTGTGAATTCAGGTAGTCAGGAGCACTCGCAGCAAACGTTTAAGACTGATTAGAACACTCTCTTAGGAGAAAGAGCTGTGACAGGAGTAAATACAACCTGCGGGATTTTGCATGTCATCTTCCTGAAAGCACTTAGGGAGTACATATTACTTGTATTAAATTAGACTTAATTCTCCCATTTGATCTTGCCTCAAACCAGCGGAATAAGTGGCAAAGCAAAGTGAGAGCAAAGCAGTGCAGTGCTAGGCTGGAAACAGTATTGTATGGATGGAAGGTTACAAAGGAGAAGGTTTCAAGGTTTTATTTTCCTCCAGTTCTATAGTGTTGTTCAGTATTTTCCAATTGCTGTGGGCCAGAGATTAGAAAGTACTTGTGTTAGCCTCTTTTCATGCAAAAAAAAAAAAGAAGCATCAGTACCGGGAACACAGAGAATTTTGCAGGTTTATTTCGTTATCAGCTCTGCCAGGCCACAAAGTTAGTAAAAAAACTTACAAGAATGTGGGTGAGGTAGCCCTCCTGCGGGGATCAGCATAGTGAGCTGAAACTAATGGAAATGGAACAGCATTCTGGAAGAAGATTTTCTTTTCTTCTTAGGTACCAAAACACATATATTGAAAATTACTTGTTTAGATCAACTCAACCTGTTCTGAATGGTGGCAGTTCTGATTCAGAAAGTATTGAAAAGACACAGCAATATTGTTCCATGCACAGTCTGGTACTTACAGGGTAAAGCTAGCATTTTCAGGTTCTTTGGACAGGAAAATGAGCCAGAGGCACAAATTCATGGTTATTTTTAATATGTGCTCTCTTCTAACATTGAGAGATTTGTTAACAGTGAAGTTAAGAAGTGCGCAGACTCTTGAGATGCTCTTTGTGGTGTGTCTTTTGTTCATTATTGTTGTTGCAATAACCTGTTTAATAATTGTTGAGTTTCTAGGGGGAAGAGAACCTTCCCAAGAAGAGGATAGTCTTGGTCTTGTTGTGCCTGATAAAGAAGAGGAAAGGGTGATCTGCCACAAAAATAACAGTAGCACCAAGACTTCGTGATGCCAGTGCTGCTGAACTGGCAGCTGCTGCTTCTGTGCCTTCTTCATTGACTTCCAGGTAACACTTGTGAAAAACTTGTGACAAAAACAAATCACCGTCCTTTGACATTCCCGTGAAATCAGCTTGGCCTTCTGTGAAGGCATCTTGTATGCCCATCCTGCTCAAACTAGATTTGAGGTCATATTTCTCTTCCAACGTAAACCTTGGCAGATAAACCTCCATTTTCACTTTCTCCATTAATTCTGGGGTGGTCCATGAAGACAAGTTTTCAAAAGTCAATTCTCTTTCCAGCTGCAGTTAGTAAAAAGAGAATTAGAAAATTACAGAATGTTCTTCTCTTTTCTTAAATGGAGGGCTTTTCAGGCTGTTGTAAGAGTACAAGAAAAACAGTAGGGAAACGCCAGTTTGGAAATCTTTTTGACTAAGCAACAATGTTGCTTATGGTCGGTCAATGCAGTATTTGAACTGTTCTCAATAATTGTCAGGGAATATATTGAAGGGTTACAATACATTGATTTTCTGTTCCCAGTTCTGTCTTCCCTGCATTTTAGAATTTATTAAAAAGAGCTTTTTTTTTTCCTCTCACAGAACACCCTATGAGCATTTTTTAAGAGTTTGTTATCCAGAGGCATAATCAGTCTTTTTACAGAAGGTGGCAGTGTCCATACATATCAGTTCTGGACATCCTGAAAAGTAGCAGAGGATGCCCAATTTTTGGTGTTTTTTTTTAGAATGAAATCATATCTGTCTAAATCAATACAGACAGTGGATTTCAGCAGGGCTGGCTGGCTGTCCTCATTTTTGTTGAGCTGGAAGAGGAGCAATCTTATGGGTTTGGGTTACTTGTTTCCGGGACTGATCAACACTGGAAAGCACAGATGTGGTAGCTTCCAAGAGTAAGAAATCTAGTCTGAGCTTCAAGAGGTTCAGGTTCACCGTACTAGACCAAATTTGAGATTTGCTTTACCTTGAGCCTGATCAGTGCCCTCCTTCCTAGAAACAAGACTGCAGCCTGGTCTTTTACCTCACACATGCATAAAGTAAGTAAGTTAATGAAACTCTTATTTTCTCAGATGATTTATGTTCTCAGTTGTTTTACCTTTTGTAAGCCGGTGAGGTCACTTGGTAGCAGGATAAACATGCTGAGGTCATTATTGACATATGGAAGCTCAAGAACATCAGCCTGGACTGATTCTACGTAGCTTAAGTTAAATTTGTCACTCAGGTGCATCATCGGCACTGGTTTAGTTGTGTGCTGCAACAAATCAAATTAAATGGTTTCCATTTGTACTCTGAACACTAAAGGACTGAGTTAAAATAGCACAGTGGATGATTATTGTATTTACTCTACAAGCTGCCCAGTGTGTCTGAGGTATCCTTATGGCTAGGACACGGGATCTTCAGAGGACCCCTGGTCTTCTGGAAAGGCACTTGAAGGCATGACATGATATCTGAGCCGTCTCAGATGACTCCCATTATGGGAAGCTGTATTCCACTCTGATTTGTTGTATGGTTAAAAATGAATATGTATAGAACTAACCCATACAGTTTTGTTCGCCTCTTTGTTTTTCCTGCCATCAGAGAATGGAAGCTTTTTTCAAGTCAGCTTCTGACAATTTTACTTGTGGCTCAGGGCCTACTATGTGTGTGCAGCCTTAGTGCTGAAGGTGTAGTGAAGAAAGTATACTGTATGCTTTAAATGAAGTAACTATTATGCCGCGTGGATTTAAAGTGTGACAGGAATTTCTCTTTCAGTTTTCTCCACCTGCAATGTAGCATATAGGGCAGTATATTCCCATACCATGTTTATTCTGAAAGGCCTTTGCCTGGTAGCTTCAGCTTCAAACTTTGTTGCCCAATTTCCTTTGAAGTAGAGTGCATTTATCAGCACTAGCCTGGTGAGTGAATCTATGGATCCAGGAGGCAGAAGATTTTGGATTTTACCTAGAGAAAATAGAAGGACATTCACACATCTGTGTACTTTTACTGTTTCAGTGCAAGTGTTGGCACAGTTTCTGTGGTTATAAGCCAGGGAAGTTGTAAATGCTGCCATAGCACCCATCTATCTTGAGATTATTCAGAAATATTTTGGGCTAATCTTGAATTATAAAGAAGAACAAGCCATATTTCTCCCACATTCAGATGGAGGACACTAATTTCAGTAAGGCCTTGTAACTAGATGAGTACTTTAGGAAAACTGATCTGATTTACCTTTCTGAGGTTAATTGTTTACCTGCCATGGGCCCCTTGGGTACAGAGAAAGCAAAATGGCTTCTTTTTGATTTGGAGAGGAGAGGCTAGAACTTACCTTCAGTCTGTTGTTCAACATTGGAATTGATCTCTCTTCTGATTTCATCTGCTGCTCCCACAAAGTCAACTGATTGTGGCTCTGCATTGTAATATTTCTTGGCTAAGTGTAAGTATTCCTACAGTGCAAGAGAGACACTGGTATTAGGCTTGTTCTCTTCCAATATGAGTGCTACTACAGCCAGAGATAAAAATTGCATGGACAGAAACATAGTGTTTTGTCAAAGGAGCAATGTATTTTTTTAGTGGAAATGCTCAGTTTAAATGTTCTTGTCTAACTACATCTGCAAATGATTCTGAGATTAGATACACATCCCATAAAACTAAAATTTTAGTGTCCAAAGTCTCAGGAAAAGTCTCATAGAAAACACTTATGTCGAGGATAATAACATGATTTGCAAATGTAGTGAAAATATTTAAAAGTATGTGGTTTATATTGTCATAGAGAGATTATGAAGGTTAACTGGCACTGCATAATCTGAATAAAAGGCTTACCTTACTGAAAGGCAATGATTTTTCTCCATATAACTGGTTGACACTTTTAAGCAGGTAATTTTCAGTAGGTTGATTGATTTCAAAGTTTAGTGCTTTAAATCCAGTATGGATATTATCTGATTTGCCAATTTCTTTCTTGAATAAAGAAAAAAAATGTTATTCATCTGTTGTGTAAAATAGTTAAAAATTCACAATTTTTTCTTTCATACAGCTCCAAGTTAAGTATTTCTCTTCAGGTGATCTGTTACCTGTATCACAACAGAAGAGGTGCTCTAAACTTGTCAGTATTAAAAGAATCATTTTAAAGTTGCAGGCAGATATGGTACACAGTGTAAGTCTTAAGAGCCTGAACTATGTAAAATATTTAAGGGTTTATAAGTGAAGATCATGAAACTTAGGATATCCAGACCAACTGGTCTACTTTGGGAAATCCCAATATGTAAATTTATTTTGTTAACTGCTCAATTGGAATGGATATCAAGCTTGGAAAAGTTAATGTTTTGGTTTCGTTGTTTTAATGATGCAATCAAATGTGTGGAAGGGCAGCTAATCCTTGGGATTAGCTCTCTGAGGTAGGAAGTGTGCTAGCTTTTGAACCGTAATAATTTGGGTAAGAAATCTGCCCTCAAAGCTAAGAGAGAAAGAACAAGAGATCTATTGATAGAGAATGATAACATCAAATGTTAAATTTTGCAAATTTGAAATTAGTTTTTGCAATTCTGCCTAAAAAGGGGAAGCATGTAATAAGTGTTGCATTAGGTGAAGGTATCACAGGATGCTGTACCAATTAATTGTGTACACTAAATCTGAGGAAGGCAAACGTAAGCAAATGCAAATGTGGAAGGAAAATACAGGCAAGAAAAGATGTGACTGTGCCCACAGCTTGATCACTATCATGGGTGAGGTACCTTCTGGAAACATGCACATCGATTTGATAGACTGTCTTCTGTTCTAGAATAGACTTGCATTCTTATGGTTGTGGTGACGTTTTTGGCTCCTTCAACTTTGTTAAAGTGAAGTACCTGTAGTGGGATAAGCAATAATAAATGGATCAATAGAAAATTTGCCATTTCTGTTAAAATTTTCAGTGGTGTCATGGGAACTAGTGATAGAGTCAAGCTCAGATTTTATTCAGGCCTTTCTGAATATAAAATCTTTGGTTAGGTCTTGAGGCTTATGAGTACAAAATGGCTTGTGCACACTTAACTGAGGGCTGCAGGGCAAAACTCTTACATACCTAGTCTTTATAGAGGAATCTGCCTGCTTGGAGTTATGCCTTAGGAAGAGCCAATTATCTCCAGATGGAGTCTATCAAAACAGAAGTCTAAATGGAGCATGCATATGTGTCAGAAAGCCTGAAAATTGTGCAGGCAGTTTCATGCCTTAAATTCTTTTCTCTGGTCTTGTTCACCTTACCCAGGCTACAAAGGGGCACGATCAACCTTGGAACATTTTTGAGAAGAGCTGTGCCTTTTGTTTTGTTTTCCCATCATCCTAACGGAAGATCACTCCTTTCTTTTTTACCCTACTGACTCTCTTTTTTCCTGTATATCAGGAGTTACATCACTGCCCTAACAGGTGGGACAACTTCTGCCTTAGCAGATGCAGATTCACAAGGCTCACCTCCTACGATAGGAGGTAGATAATTGTATTAGGTGTCAGGTAACCGTGCATTGGGGCTGTTATTGCTATCACGTGCTGAACATGAGCTTTGAACAAGTGCAACTTAGTGATTTCGGTCAGTGATTTTGCCAATAAAATATACATCGTAAAGAAAGGGTTGTAGTCTCAACTTGTTTCTTCTCTAATCTTGGAGATGTGGATTTATGTTTAGCAAAGTGCAAAACTTATAATAACTATAGGGGAAAGTCCTTTTCTATGGGGTCATTTCCAGTGAGATGAGATATGAGATGGGAATTTTCTGTGGCAGAGTAGAAGAAGAATCCAGATCTTCTACTCCCTGGTAAGTGCTCAAGTTACTGAGCTTTAGGATAAAGATCCCTTGTTTCTGCTGGTGAAATTTAAAAGGTGACAATGTCGCCAGTGCCACTTCTGTAATTTCTTAAGGTCCTATTTGCATAGGCTAGAGTAGAGTTGATCTGCACAAGTGGAGAACTGGTCTATTCATTGCAAAGCACATCGGGGTGAAATGGGAGCTGGCATAAGCAGAAAAATCACTCTAATCAAAACTCTACACATATATGGCTTTCCTCTGTTCCATCACAGTAAAATTCTGTCATGGAGGACATTATTCCAAGAGACCTACCCTTTCAGATATCTACTTTTTGAAGCCCACACTCACCTTTGCCATTTGATCTGCAGTGTTACCTTTGGCTCCCAAATAAACCGTAGCCAGGGCAGATGAAATACTTGAAGGGGAGAACAAAATATTCTTGTCACCATCTTCCTGACATTGCTGTTTGAAAAAGTCGAGAGCAAAGCTTGTGTTTGCTTTATTTAAAGCATCCATTGTTCTGAAGCTGCAAAGAAAGGGAGAAAATATTCTATTAACAAACCACTAATTATGACTGCTATGTGTCTGCAAGTTTCTCTTCACTTTTTGAACTTCCTTTTGTGATTTAAAGGCTTTCTAAAATTATCTATATGAAGAATGAGGAGAATTAACTATAATAAAGTCATATAAAGTTTAGCATGTCCTGTCCATGTCCATGTCCATATTTCACTGATGGCACTAGGCATCATTTTTAGGGATAAATCAGCCTCTAATCTTGTTTCCTATTTGTTCACCAGGACATTTGCTGCACTGTCCTTTACAGCATCTTGGAGTGACTGTTGATAATGTTACTCACCAGCTCCTGGACTAGAGAATATGGAGAAGCTATCCTATATGACAAATTTTATGCTTCAGTTTGTGCGAGAGCGTTTTGATGCTCATTGCTGTAGTGAACAAATACTCTGGTAACAATAGAGTCAAATTATTCATTTAGGTGAGGACAAAAGATTCCTTCCTATGCTTGAGGAAGCACTGCCCCAGCTGTTGCATGCTAAGCATCCTGAATTACCTTTTTGACTTTCAAAAGTGTCCTGAGCTCCATCTTACAGTGCTAGCCCAGATCCTAGCTTCCCAGTACTTCTGCAGGACAAAGTTTCTGTATTCAGTAGAACATGAATGCTGCTATTTGTCATTTGTCTTTCAGGTTTAGCTGAGAGCTCTAGACAGGGACTAGGAGCTTTCATGGTTGGTATAGGATGGCCTTAGAATAAAGACAGTTTGTCCCCCAAGTAGCTTGCATACCAGGAGCTGATCTGATAATTCTAAGCACTAAAGAGCACAAGAACAAATTAGCTGACTTAAGCAAACACTGTGGTTCTTACTCTGCTATGATATATATGCTAGTCAGTGAGCCCTAGAAATTATAGAACTCTGAACAATAAATTGCTCTTCCTGTATATTTTTAAGACTTCCACTTTCTAGACTATGCCTGTGCAATCTTAGTTAATTACTTTCCCCAGTATTAGACGGTTTCCAATTCAGATCCCTGCTTCCTTTTTTCCTATGCATTTGTCAACAAAGCAACATCATCCAAGAATGTGTGAAATAAATGGTATCTAGAAATCATTACAGTACCTTGTTCTGTACAGGAAGAAACACTGCTGCTCCAGGTGTCTCCAAGGTTTCTGCAGTTCACATGAAGGGTAGGGTGAATTTATAGTGTGCCTGGCCGGTTCTGCAAAGGTTCTTATGACTCATGACTGGGCAATGTGTTCTGCCCTGTAGCCCACATCCCTGTGGAAGAGCTGAATCATCTCAGAGTAGGATGTGAAGTGATGGTAAGAATGATACCATACAAGAACTTTACAAAACTGACTACATAAGTATTTCTATAAACACTTTTGTGGCAACAGACTAGTAACAACTTGAACCCACACTACTTTGAAGAGCCTTTCTTTTGTGGTTTGGAGAGTTTAAAAAAAGGCAGTTGCTGACCTACTTTTTTAATGATTCGTCTAAAGAATTTATCTCTGAGAAACAAACAGACAGAAAAAAAAGAGAGTGACTTCTTATGTGTGAGTTTTTCTGTTGTCCTTTTCCTTCTCAGAAAGAATTGGTCATTCCTGGTGGGTTTCAGTTTTGGAAAAATGGGTTTTGTTAATCTTGAAGGATTTTAAGACTGTATAACCGGGGAAATGCTGCCACTGTGGGATAGGGAAGGTTAAGAGACAGACACCAGACTCTTGCTTGTACCATCTGTGGCAACATCACTAGAATCTAAAGTGGGTCTTAAATTACACTTTATTTCTGTTTCCCCACCATATCTGAAAGCTGTTTGAGCAATGTAGCACAACAGAGATCTCTTCCTTATTTTTCATTCCATTTCGTCTTTCCTTGGCTACAAAAATACCTCCTTCCTTGATTTTCCTTGCAATCATGCTGTCCCTTCCTCCATTGTCTTTCCTGTAGCTGTCCATCCCCACTCTGACCCCTAACCAAAATATCCTATGTAATCCTACCCTTGCCCTTTATTACATTTTTTACCTCTCCACACTGTTGAAAACTCCACCTTGAAAACCTGGATAGGAGTTGCTTTCCAGGGCTGCCTCCTCGACACTGAGCAGGACTCACAAGGTCTCTCTCCTTGGCACAAACTACCTTTGGAGCTTTCTTCTGTCCTGCTGTCTATGAGCATAGGTTAAACATGGACTTGTGTTGTGGGTCAGCAGCAGTCATGGAGGATCCTGTAGTGAGGAATGACCTATGGAAATACCTGCAAAATTTGGTGTAGGGCATATGGGTGTGCAACTGCCAATCCCCTGCCGATGGTGAGCCTTCTGCATCAATATAATTGGGAAAGGAAAGCTTTGTTAAAGTTGCTTTCCTACCTGTGAGGTGCCACATTACTTTAATTGGATGTTTTCCTATCCCTCGGGTCCTTTAAAATTGTAGCAACACATAAGGAGCATGTTTCAGTGTGAGTTGTAATTAGGTGCATCTGTTAGGTTTTCTAGACAGCAGCATAGTGTAGGAGAGATACTCACTGCATAAATAATTGCTTCCATTACACCTGGGAAAGTTGTAATCTGTTTACATTGGCCTTCAGTGACTTCCAAGGCTTAAATGATTCGAATAATGTTTGCAAATTTAGCCATCTTGTTGAACAAGTGATAGATACCCTGAAAAGATTTCATCTCTTATAGCAATTACTGTGGATTTTCTGGTTTTAAAGCAGAGTAACTTAATTTTCTACCCTGTGATACTGCTTGCTGCCTTACAAGAAGTGACTGAGGTGTTCTGTTTACACAGAAATGCGTGGTTAGACTGAATGAGAGGCTTGTGCCTTTGCACAAGGTTTTAAAGCTACCTTTTTAGAATGCTTCTTGAACTGGTAGTTAAGAAATAAAAATAAAAATAAAAATAAAAATAAAAATAAAAATAGCATACTGAGTAACTAGAATTATATTCATCTCAAAGGACAAAATATGCTAAATCCATGTGATGGGTTGATAATGTTTTCTAATATCCTTTTAAGTTAGTATCACCAGAGGACACGACTCTTTAAATGGTGCTACTGCTGACTCAGTAGCAGCAGTAGTCTCACTCCCACTCTTTACTAAGTCAACCCAGCAGCACACTAGAGGACTTACATTTGTGTTAATAGTGCCCTTCCTGTGGGAAGTAAACCTGTGGGCCCTTTCACTGCAGTCATTCATGTTTCCATTTGGTTAGAACAAATATTGGAAGGGTATCAGTGCCCTGGCCAGATCTCAGCCTTTTAGAGGCATTTTGTTTTCCTCCAGTTTCAGTGTAACTTTGCACACGTCGTTTTGACTTTCCTGCACAGTGTGTTGCTCTGTTCATTAGCATCTGGGTTCAGGAGTAGGTGATATGTTTGATGTCTGAACAGAACATTATTCTGTGATTCTGTGAAGGTTCTTGAGGGTCTTGAGAGAAAAACTTGCTGTTGCAGAAAAATAGTAGCTTCTCCTCTTCCACAGAATTTTTAGGATATAACTTTCCATGGCTGGTTTTCATACTCATTGGTAGCTTATTTTAGCTATCAACTCTGTACAGCTCTTGGAAATCTCTTTTAATTCAAAATTAACATGTTCTAAATTTCAAGGAAGATCAAAAGAAAAAGTGGTGTTGAAGGAAAGCAGTTCAGTTTTCCTGACATCCTCAAGTGTTTTTTACCAGTATAAGCACTGGAGGGAAGAAATTCTAATTCAGCCAGCTGAGCACTCTATTCAAGTTTTTGGCTGAGCCAGAGCAGGCCAGTAGATTTTTAAATATGAAAGGATTTTAAATGTCCCCAAACCTTTAAAAGGACTTTAGCAGATACAAGAATAATGAGGAGGAAAAGGATTTTGAAATCTGAGAAGATTTGAATATCTTTGGAGGTCTGATGTAATTTTTTTTTAAAAAGTCTCTGTGTGATTTAAATTTAAAAACTGTAAGGAGGGGCACAGAAAATGAGGAAATAGTAAGAGTGCCAAGTGCTCTACTCTGCACTGATGCGGCCTTACCTGGAGTACTGTATGCAGTTTTGGGCACCACAATACAAAAAAGACATTAGGCTATTAGAGAGCATCCAAAGAAGGGCCATGAGGATGGTGAAGGGTCTGGAGGGGAAGCCATATGAGGAGCGGCTGAGGTCACCTGGTCTGTTCAGCCTGGAGAAGAGGAGACTGAGGGGAGACCTCATTGCAGTTACAACTTCCTCGTGAGGAGAAGCAGAGGGGCAGGTACCAATCATAGAATCATAGAATCAGATGAAGAGATCAGTGCCTGCCCCTCATCTTCCCCTCACAAGGGGACAGTCCCCAGGGAAGTGGTCAGAGCCCCAAGCCTGTCTGAGTTCAAGAAGCGTTTAGACAACGCTCTCAGGCACATGGTGTGATTCTTGAGGTGTTCTGTGCAGGACCAGGAGCTGGACTCGATGTTCCTGATGTCTCCAACTCAGCATATTCTATGATTCTATGACTAGAAACATAAACTTTTCAGTGCTGAGAAGGACTCTTTTTTGTGTGATGCCTCAGTTGTGTTATTGAGAGCATGGCATGAGCTTTTCCTAATACTGTCAACTGAAAAAAACCCTTATATGTATCACCTAGGCTGATTGTAACAGATTTTGGGTTGTGTTCTAATGGAATTATATGTAGGATAATAAGTTTGTATCAACCTGAAATTTCAAAGAGTTTTTAAGTTTTAAAAAGATTCATTCTTTGAGTATATTTTCTCTCTTTAAAGCTTTGGTTGATAATACACGTGTCTTTATTTTGAAACAGAGTAGATAGTGATCTTTTGTGTGCTTCCTACTAGTAAATTTGCAAGCCTTCCCTTGCCAAACAATCCTTGCTGACATACTCTAACACTATTTAAAACCTTATGAGTTTCCAAAGGGTGTGGTGAGGTTCTTGTATAAATATTATTGAGGCATTTTGCTCCACATCTGCCAAAAGCAAAGGTGTGGTGAAATTTGGCACAATTCACCATACTTCAGTATTACTTCTACGTGCTTTAGCTTAGACACTGTAATTAATAAAGGTAGTGTTTGTCCTGAGAAATTCTGCTCTGTTAAGAAGCGCAACACTTCTGAGAAAGGACTGATCTCTGTATCTGAAGAGAGATACTTTATCTGTTAATGAATAGGCACGCTGTTTTCACATGTGCAAGGGTGCAGTTTTCCTTTGAGTGACTCAGGTGGTGAGCATTTTAAAAGTATCTCAGGTAGCTGTGACACCAAAAGTGGAAAGAGTGGCCTGAATTTCTCAATCATGATGCACAGTGCTGCATTATGAGTAATGACGTATATGTGACTTGTATGCACTTTAGCTGAAACTTGTCATTTTTCCGAAGAAATCTCTCAAAGGGTGTAACTGTATGTCAGCTGCACAACTACTGAATCAGAAAGCTGATCCCTGCTTCCTGTTCCAGTGCAATAGTGCAAGATGTGCCAAGTTATGGATGAAGAATGTGAATATCAAGTTGATGTATCTTCAAAACACATTTCTAAATAGGAGCCTTGTGCTGATGTGCAAGAACACAGTATAGAGAAAGGACTCTCTTTTAAGAAACCCATTTAAACATTTGCTCTTTTTTTCGTACAGCATGACTGTAAATATTCTTGCTTGGTGAAATGACCAGGATTTTCCCAAGACAGTTGGTATTTTTAGGAATTTTTATCAGGAGAATTTTCCCAATACTCACTTAAGGAAGTGTAGAGGAAATCTCAGCTATTCACTGATCTGTTTGGCACTTGCTGGCCCTCCACAGTTTCATGCCTTTTAGGCTAATCTTGGAACTGATTTGAACTATCTGGTTAAGTACACATACAAAGGCAGTAATGCTTTGTCGTGGAAGAGAAGAACCCCAAAAAGGGGGCTTGGAATGGAATTTCCCCCTCAGACTGACAAGGACCTTGAGTGAGCTGGAGTGTCATTAGCATCACTTGAACATGTCTTATCAATGCCTTTGCCATTGCAAGATTCTTCCATCTTTCCATCTCTCTCATTCACTGCCTGTTGCGCAAAGGATCTCAGACTCTTGAGACCTGACATCCTTTTACATGGTTCAAGTTAGCAAGCTTTTAGAAATAGTGACCAAGGGGCAATTAATGACATGATACGTGACAAGTGAGACAAGATGATCTCATGTTCATTTCTACTCTCTGGTAAAATAAGATGGAAAGTTTTCATTTTGTTCCTCAACCTTTCTTGAGGCTTGCAAAAGTGTGAACTT